TTTGACATGTGCCCATTCGATATATGTACTTTGTTGCACTTGAATTAGAGTCTTTCAGGTCTCAACTTTTGCCTTGTTAAAGCTGCGTTGCGATGCGATTTGAAGGAGATTATAGCACAGGCCGCATTGTAATTCCAAAATCGATAAGTAGATACGTAGGTTCAAGATCGGCCTGGGGCGTTTTTTTGTTGCCGAAGCACGTCGCGTGTTCCGCCACTTGCGTCACATGTTCATGTTTCATGTGTCACATATGCGTCACGAGTTTTTTAAAAGTGATTTTTTTGGATTTTATTAGGTTATATTAGGTTTTTTCTGGTGTTATCATGGATCTAAGAATCAATGGATGGAGCGTAGAGTGGATTTATTAGCAAGGGGGTTGCCAAACGAAAAATGCAAAATCATGGAAACGTATATAGGCCTTCCTAAGATATATTTGATTACGTGATGATTTAAAAATAGTGGACAAAGCTCGTTTTGCAAGAGGCACAGCCCTATAAGTCTGTTCATTCGTAGCTGCCTACAACGGAGATCCGACTTGTTCATTCACGCTCGCATGTTTTTATTTTTTATAATTTATTAATGATTTGGTTATATTGGATTTTTTCGGGTTTATGAATTTTTATTTTTTATAATTTACTAATGATTAACAAAATTCATTATTGATGGTGTCCCAGAATTGGCGCATTCGGAGTACAGGACGTTATACTTCGTACTAAAAGGAACAACTTTTTCCTTTAGCAAATTTTGATCTGACAAGTAATTTTGGCAGGAGAGCTGGTTAAAGTTAACGATTAATCGCTCTTATCCATGCGGCGTTCAGGGCCGGCGCGCGCTCCTCCATTCACTTGTTCCTAATCCTTGGCTAATATTTACAAATAATGTCTTAAAATATTAATACGGTTCTGTTATAATTATTTTACGACATTTTAAGACTGTGTTTAACAATAAGACAGTCTTAAACATTAAGAATCAATTATAAATATCTTTTATTGCTTGAAAAATAAATTATAAAATAAATATTGATTTAAAAAAATAAAATCAAATAAATATTGATAAATGGTATCACTGAACTTAAATAGTTTACTAATTCTTAAGTAAATCCTCAAGTGCTGGAAAATTGCTTTATTGTGTAACAGTGATTAAAAGTAAAGTAAAATATCTTAAATATTATAATATCAATATTTATTTGATTTTATTTTTTTTAATCAATATTTATTTTACGATTCATATTTCAAGCAATAAAAGATATTTATAATTGATTCTTAATATTTAAGACTGTCTTAAACACAGTCTTAAAATGTCGTAAAATAATTGTAACAGAGCCGTATTAGTATCTTAAGACATTATTTGTAAATATTAGCCAAGGATTAGGAACAAGTGAATGGAGGAGCGCGCGCCGGCCCTGAGCGCCGCATGGATAAGAGCGATTATTCGTTAACTTTAACCAGCTCTCCTGCCAAAATTACTTGTCAGATCAAAATTTGTTAAAGGAAAAAGTTGTTCCTTTTAACACAAAGTATAACCTCCTGTACTCCGAATGCGCCAATTCTGGGACACCCTGTATATAAATTAATACTTGCACAGCAGATATATATTTTATTTTGAAAATACATTAATTCTGTTTTTTATTTATCTTTGTGTGATTTGCTTTTTATTTCTCTTGTACTTAAAATTATTAGCAATAAACATATACCAATTGTAAAATTTTAAAATTTTGAAAAATGTACCAAAGTGTTGCAAATGTGAAATGTAATAGGTTTTACGAGGTCACACGTGAATTTTTCCGTTGAATTTTTCTACCCCTTGGGAAAGAAACAGAAAAAATCCGCGGAAAAATTGAAAAAAACCGGTTTTATTTCCAGCCTTTAAAACTATAGAAAATAGATAATAATATTCAGCATCCATATTATTCTAATCATATTTAGCTTATTTTTTCATTATTTATATCTATCAATATTAAACACGAGCGTATGTATTGTTGTGAGTCGAACTTACTAAATTAATAAGTCGGTCGCTGTTGTAACAATCTTACGACAGCGACCTAGAATAATTGAGGACTGCCGATGCAGGACTTCGGCAGCCTCAATACGCACGTCCTCCAAAAACTGCGGCAGTTGCAGTTAAGCAACAATTGCAACTGCTGAGCAGTGCAGTGG